TCTCAGGAGTCAGTCCTTCCCGCGCACGGCTATTTTCCTTTTCGCTTTTCGTTCAGTTATATGGCCGAGTTTTATAAACTCTTCAGTTTTATGGACCCTCGAGTTCATTTCGTTCAAAGTCGATATTTTTTCTAACTTTGTAAACCGTGTCTATATATATATATATATATATATATATATATATATATATTAACATCCAACACACCAAATAATTGCAATATCAAGACTTCTTTTTAATTTATGGTTAGTTTGATGAGCCTAACATGGTATTTGTATATGTGAGTTCATTTCAAACTTAGATAAATTTGACCTAGCACAAAATTAATGAAAAAGGGGGCCTACATTTTAGAACTCACAGATGGTGTATTGTATATATCAAGTTACCAACAAGCAGGGCTATTATTATAATAATAACGTATATATTAACGTGCACTGACCTATTCTCTCGTTTGTCAGGTTTAAATCGTGCAGGGCCGGCCGGAGCGCACAATTGGTCCCAATCCCAAGCTTCATAGTTCATACCATATCATATCATAACCACAAGAAGCGTGCACAAAACCAAAAGCAGCAGAAGCGCGAAAACGCGTAGATGATGTACACACATATATGTGCACGCATCGCATGCTAGTACAATAATATACTACTACTCTTCAATACACTTGCAGAGTTGCAGTAGTCTCTCTATATGCAATCTTTTTCAGGCATGTTTCAGCTAACCAGAGCTGTCGGTTACATTATAATTTACATTATATTATATAGGCCTACTTACCAAACCTTCAGGCCTACTTTGGCAGCCCAAATTCCCGGCGGGATCCCGGCCTTTTCCCTGGGCTAATCTGCCCCGTGCCATTCTTACCCGGGCCAAATTTGTGCGCCCTTTGGCAGCCCACCAAGGCGCGGATCGCAGCCCACTTCCCAGCGTTTTCCGCGAGGAAGAAATCCACTACTCGTTAGGCCGGGAGGGTTTCCCCGTGCGACTTGCGAGCCACCGCAGCATCCGGCCGCCCAGTCGCGAGGCCGCGAGGGTTCCCTGACCCTGTCGTCGACTCGTTCGCTTTCGCTGTCGCTGTGATTTATGAAGTCGCGAGGCCTCGCCGCCGCCACCCAAAGCATCTCGTGGTGGCGCGATACCCGGTGGCGGCGACTAGCGGCGATCTCTCCCTACGGCCCGCGACGCATCTCCCGGCGCTTTCGGCGGTGGCGTTCCTCCTGAAATTCACGGCTCCACGTCGATCTCTAGAAATCACATTGGCGGTTGTCTCACCCACACCGCCGCCTCCTCGCTCCTCCACCATTGTCGCTATCGCCATCCGTCTCTCGCAGGTCGGTCCTCCTCCACTGCATCTCCCTTCCCCAACCGTAGTTTCTCGACACGCTAGAGTTTGACCCAGATTTCCATTGTTTCTTGTAGATCTTGGAGGTACCGGTCCGTGAGCCAAGACATCGCTTCGCTCCCATTGTCCCGTCCGTGAATAACACGATGCCGCGGAGATCTGAGTTAGTTCTCCGCCGCGCTCTTGATTCGTTGCATTACATTTTCAAAGTGGTCGGTCATGGATTCATGGTGGTTTGATGTCTTCTTTGTAGGTTTCGTGTTGTAGCTTCATGTGCAGTGTAGGAGATGGTCAATTTGTTTGTAGATGTAGTACTGTCTTGTTATGCAATCAGTGTTGGATCTGAAGCCTCTCAAGAGGCAGCTTGAAGAGTGTGAGATGATTTGACTTGAAGAGTGTGAGATGATTTGACTTGGTTATGAGCAGGGCGAATGATTTTTTTAGCTTAGCTGTGCTATTCTCTGAATATTGTAGTCTTGGTTTGTTCAGCTGGTGTGCTAGCCTGCTAGATGGTGACTAGAGGTAGATTTCAGATTTTACTTTTTGATCGGAGGTGACTAACTGACAGAGTACGACTTGGCTTAATACAATGCTCGCTTCAATAAGAGTACACACGTCAATCTCCACTCTGAATTGAGTGAATTTCCACTGCCTTAATCATCAGTTCTTGATGATTTTGTTGACATGTATCAGATTATCTTTACCTTTCGAAACCAGAGTTCAAGCTCTGCCATATTATTGGGCCACGTCACTTGCTAGTCTGCTAAACGTCAGATCAGCTCTCCGTGCAAGATTAACCGTCTGATACATACAGATTAGTTCGAACCTGTCACACAGACGTCTCGCGAATCATCACGAACTCGGGCTACTCGACAGGCCGAGGTCCTCATCCCCCACCTCCGCATGTCGCGCCGCCTACGTCCTGCCAGGAGCAGAGGAACACCAACGTTCCTCCCCCACACGTCTTCGCCGGCCAGCAACCCAGGTCTCGCAAATTCTCGGTCGTCCGTTCACGTGCTAACGCTCGGATTTCATCTGTTGCTTCTGAGCGGGGTGGCGAGGATTGAGCCGCCGCCACCCCCGCACCCCCGCTCAAGCCGCCGTCGCTGCCATGCGTGTTGGCGCTCCGCTGGAGCTGCCGTACGCCGCCCCCATGCGCGCCCGCCCGTCCACCTTCGCAGCGCCGTGACGCGGAGCTGCCAGTGCCAAGGGTGCGATGCCTCGGTGGTGATCGCACGCCACACGCGCAGCCATGGCGGCTACTAGCTGGGCGAGCGCGACTGACGGGCAGGGATGGGGCGGATACCCTACTGGTGCAAGCAGAGGCGAGCGGCATGTTGGAATTAGTGGGAGAAACCACCTAGGCATTGGGTACACCGTACACAAATGCAGAATCATCCCACGCTTGCAGCATGTTCTTGTCTTCAAGACGTCCATTGAACTTGGATTAGCCAGCTGAGTGCTTGGGTGGAAATTTAAAGGGACGTCCACCAACTTCTCGACGAAATGCTAAGGCGTCTGGTCCATGGACTGTGGCTATGGAAGAGACCCGACATTCCATCGGCAAGGTTTGGTTTTATCTGTTCGTTCGATCTCTCGGCAGCTCCGTCGATCCTTGTTATGTTTGCTCTGCTTTCTTTGTTCGCTGCTATTAGAGTTCAATTATTTTCGCATTTTGTGACGAGGTCCTGTTTGGGGTAAAGAAATCTGCTATCGTACAGTTGATCTCAGTGTAGAATAGTGTCATAGTGATCAGTCCCATACAGTTGTCCTCTGCTCGTTATTCAGGTAGTAGTAACTTATTTTATATTTTTATTTCTACTATATCTGACACATTGCTTTCTTGTTGTCTGCTATGGCATTCCAGTTTTTCTTTTTCTTTTTAAGTCTCCATTCAGTTTTTCATAATAGTGATTCAGTTTTTTTAACTTGTTGGCCATCAGGGTTGCTGTATGTAGCCTTAATAACAAGTGAATTACGAAAACAAAAATGCATATTTATTTACCCTCTGTTAGTTATTGAATAGATATTTAACTTAATCTAGAAAGACAAGTATACAACTTGCTACTGCAGTACTCATTTGGTTTGGTCCTCGCTGATTATTTTGGTTGATGTATTTGGATGAAGACAAGTAGCATTGAGCATGAAGCTAGTTGTGTATTTCATTTATCTTAGTCTGACCTGATAGATAGCCATAGACATCATGAGAACAATCTCCTTTTACCTATATGTATTTTGGCCATATACAAGTGCAGTTTCCAGAGCCAGACGTGTCATGAGAGATCACCATTTTCATTAATTTTGTGTTACTGCAGATGTCTTAGTGGAAGCAGTGCATGATTTGAAATAAGTCTGGTAACTTTGGATAGTACTTGGCTAGATGCCAGAAGACATTGGATGTAAGGATGGTCAATTTAGAGATGATTGTAGTATATGATTATGACTTCCCCATTTTCTATTGGATGTAAGGATGTAGAACAATCTGTATGAATGCTACTAGTAGTTGGTCAGATGTCAGATAATACTTTTGTGTTTATTAGATTTGGTTTAAGGTCCGAGATATGTCTGTATTTGTATGGTGAGAGACTTGTACCTGAGATTTTTCATGATTTTGTGGCTCTGACATTGATATGTAGTGACTATTTATATTATTCACCTCTTTTTATTTTTCTTGATTTTTGGTGATTTTCCTGATTTTTTAAGACATGGTTTATCAATTATTTGTACTGAAGTTGTCCAAAATAGCTGAAAAAGGTAAAAGCGCGGTTCTCTTCCCCGGAAAAAGTCTGCCAAACAACGGCAGGGCAGCTTCCCCGTACGTGGATGTCTTCCCAGAGGTGACGAGGGGAATGGACGATCCAAAAAAAATTCTCCCTCGGGGCTACAGTCCCTGGCTTTATTTCCCCGTACTGCCAAAGTTGCCCTCAGAGTTCAGAGTTTCAGACACTCCACGCGGTTCGCTTGTAGTATTTGGAGGAGCTAACCTTTCCATACCCATCATCCAACGCGCGAACGAGCTACCCTTTCCAGTCTTTTTTCTTCATTCATCTTCTTCTTCCAACAACTCCTGCGGTATGTCTTCTCCTTGTGGATCAGCAACTGCCTCACCACCCAAACTAGGGAGGGGTGCGTGTGACAGTTCCCAGATTTATGTACCGGTGCAGTAACAGTAACTATTGAGCTTACATAGTTAGTACGCATCAGTAAACACATGAAACCAAAACAAACGAAGAGAATCCATGTATAAAAACTCCGCACTCGGCACATGAAACAACCAGCGATCCATGCTACTGCCAAACTGCATCACCCTAATTTGTCCATCATCCGAAGGGAAAAAAATAGAAAATGAAGAAGTATGAACAGACGAATTAAACCAAAGACATATCAACATAGACATGCGCACTCCATTCTCTCCACAGATAAAAAAATAAACATCTGAGAAGACGATGATGTCTCCCATCCACCTCCTTCAGGATTTAGCTAGGCTACCTGCACTGCACCGGGTGCACCCTGTGATCAAACATCACTCCCACATATCTCTTCAGCTGCCTGACTGCGGCACTTCAGTAAGAGTAGATCAAGCACTTTCAAGTGATTCTTTGGCCACAAAAACTTTGGTGTCATCGGATCCAGATCTTCCATCATCCTTAGCGCACGGTCCTGAGTTTACCTCGGCGAATTATCCAGGATTACTTCGCCATCTCCAGGAATCTTCATCTTGTCACCGCCGTCGATGCTTAACTGCACATAAGTAGGATTGGTATCATCCCAAGCAGCAGGCTCAGGAACTAGCACACCACAATCAGTCTCTGTCTCTCCAGTGTGCTGACCAACAAACATCTGCTCTGACTCTGAGCTACCAGCACGCATCAGTGCTGGCCCTGCTGCTGCTGCTTCCAGTTGCCTGAACAGTGAGCTCATCTCCTCAACCGAGCTTGCTTCTACAACAGGAAGCCCACCGTCTTCAGTCAGCACCTCCTTTGGCTCACCTTCACCTTCGACGACCTTCACAGCCACTGGACCCTTGTCAAGCGAGCAATCCGAAGAATCTTCAGTATCCCCATTTTCCACAGGCAATGCTTCACTTGGCCCGTCTTGGATCGGCTGATCATCATCACAACTGGAGATAGAAGCAGCGGGTGCTAATAATGCTTCTCCATTCAGCTGAGCAAACTGTGAATTCAGCTCTTCTACTGATCTTGCTTCAATCAAAGGTATTGCAGGTTCTGCGTGTAATAAAGTATCACTAAGCTCGTGCTCAAGTTTAACCGTCAAGGGTTGGCCTATGCCAGACTCTGAAATGGACTGCACTAGCACTTCCTCCATGCGGCACTTGAATAACGAGTTAACTTCACTCATGGAGTCGTCTTCTTCAACTTCAACCATATGTTCCTCAATATTGTTGTGTTCTTCACATAGAGAACAAAGTACCGATTGCTCATTACCTGCGTGCATGACATCAGCTCTACTTGAGTAAACATTGCAAATATATAATTGGCATAGCTCTAATCTGAAAAATGATCCCTATTACCTGCATAAATTGAATTGTTCACATCTGACGCGCTGGACAGTGATTTTTGGACATAAAAGGAATTTGTGCCGTTGACGGAATCAGTGCTGCCCTCCTTAATTCCATGATTTGCTTCGAGCACACACACATCTGAAATTGCCGCGCTTAGTATTTTGATCTCATCACCAATACGTGGTTCCAGTGAGCCAAATAACTTGCCATTGTTGTCAAGTGGTTCCTCAGAATCGCTTTCTGAGTGATTGTCAACAGCATCTTTTCTACTGAATTCAGACTTCTCTAGCTTTATTCCGTTGTGATGTTGCATATAAGTAGACTGCCTTACATACAAGCTGTCAAGTTTCCTTCCCTGTGATGATGAAAAGCCTGAGCGAGGAGTCCAAGTTTCCTGCAAACGGCTGTCGTGGTCCACAATTTGGTCAAATGGAATATCAAACGGTTTCCTCCAGGGAAGCAGCACAGACGGTGCTGAATCAGGAACCTGTGGTAACTCCACTGTATCCTCTGAATCATTTGAAGGATCGGGCCTTGGTGTAGAAATGGAGGGCACCTGAACACGGAAGCGTGATGCCTCCTCCATTTTCTGAACTGCATCAGCGGCCTGCATGTCCATTAGCCTCCTGTCAAGTTCAAACTTCAGAACATTCTTTGCTAGTCGCAACGCCATCAGACTCTCCAAGTTCCCATTCTTTTCAGTATCCAAAGAGTTTGGATCCACAAAGCCCTTCCAGCTACTTTCGTCGTCTCTCTTCTCTTCTTCTCCATCTTCATCTGAGCTAAGGTTACCATCCTCCTCCTCCGACTCATCTTCATCTTCATCTTCATCTTCATCTGATGAGCTGGCGTTCAGATTGTCTCTGAAAGTTGAGGAAGGATGACTGGTCCCCAAGTTTACAGGTGGGTTCAGTTCATCAAGCATCGGTATGATGTCGGTGATCGATGCATCAGAAGAGCTTTCAGTAAGGTCAGACTCAGAATCAGAACAAGGATCCTGTCGCGTAACAGGTTGCCAACATGAGCTCATGAGTTCACCGAACTGATACTGATTGTTCACTTCATAGTGACACCTTTCTGTAACGGTGCTCTCAGACTGTTGCGGCGGCACAACCTGCTCGCAGATTTCCTTAACATGCTCCTCTTCCTCTCTTTCAGCAATGATACCATTCTTGCCAAACCCAGAAGATTCAGCACAAAGAACAGTGTCGGTGGCCATAGATGTCACATTTCCTTGATCACACAGAGCATCAAGCAGAACACCTTCGGAAGTTTTGTCCACTTGAACGGAAACACCTTCAGCAGTGCTGCTCTGAAAAAACTGCTGAAGCTCAACCTTGTCACAGGTTTCCTTGACACGCTCCTCTCTTCCCACAATAACAACTTCACTCTTGGTAAGCTCAGAAGCTTCTGCACAGCGAACGGTATCAGCAGACACAGACGTGACAATACTGTCCTCATCACTGTGGGTATCATGGAACATGCTATCAGAAGTTGTTTCCTCAACGCAGACAACTGGGCTCTCAAAAAAGCTCCTTGACATGTGGGTGACGGCGACATTCTGAACCTCCTCAGCCACTGAACATTCAGTGATGGATACTCTGGATTCAACGGACGATTTTTTCTGGTCCTGTCCGATCACTGGAGCACTTGGTTCCCCGTAGCTCAACAGCGCTCCAAGAAGGAGTGCAGTTAGCAGGAAGACCGGGGACGAAGACAGCAGGAAAGTAATCAGAGAAGGGCAGAGTCTGTGTAGGAACAGCAGCAGCATGCCGATGCCGAGTGCCACAGGATACTCAGAAGCAGAATGATAGGCAAGCCTGACTGAAGAATGCAATGTCCTCTTGATGTGCAGCAGAATGTTGTCTGCATCAAGTGCCATCTTTGTCCCCCTTGGATTCAGCCCCGGGATGCAGATCTAAACTGGAAACAGAAAAAGGAGGCAGATCAGTATTGAAATGCTGTCCAATGGCATTGAAACTAGGTTGGGTCGCAGTGTTTATGCAGGAAGGAAGAAAAGTTAAGGATTGGCATATCACTGATACGTGATACCTATGTAAGAAAATAAACTAAGTTGATGCACAGGCCGGATTTATCTAAAAAAAAGGGAAAATAAACTAAGTTGATCAGATTATACCAATCATTCACCAACCTTATGTGAATAAACTAAGCTCACTGATTTCCAAACTAAACTGGCTACTAATAGCAGCACTATGTAAAGTGCACATGCGTAAAACAAGACCAGGCCAAATGAAACTAGCAGTAAGGTGGTACTACCAATAACAGGTAAAAGAAGCGGCCGCTACGGGGATTTGCAGATCAAGTAGTGTCTATGAAAACAATATATATACAGAAGGAAAGGAAGAGCTACGAGGACATGAATGAAGCATGAGGCTTCGGCTGCAGAAGGATCCAATCCAACAACAATGGCTATGGGGAAAAAAAAAAAAAAGAGTAGCACAGACAGCGCAAGAAACAGAAATCGGCGGCAGCCGCACCTCAGCACCTCAGCGACGAGGCGGCAGGCGAAGAAGAACTTGTTCTTGCGCTCTGAAATAGAAATGCCTCGGATGAACGCAGCAACAGCCAAGAAATGCCTCGGATGAACGCAGCAACAGCCAAGAGGCGAGGAGTTTGGCGGACGGGGAAAGCAAGGCGGGATGGGGATGGAGTGACAGGGGAGCTGGTGCTGGAACAAGGAAGGGGAACAAAGCGAAGCAAACAGCATGAAGCTGCAGTGCAGCGTGTCTCTCCTCTTCCCTCTACTGGGATTCTTTGCTTTGGAGGCAGAGGCAGGCAGCAACACCACGCCACCACCGGCAGAAATGCTTTGGCCGGCCGGCACGGAAAGGCAGCGAGCGGCGACCTGGTGCCGGCGATTCCTGCGGGCGGGCGGCCTGCAGTAGGGGGCAAGGGAAAGGTAAAGTTGTGCAGGGCCCCAATCATGGCATCAGCCAGCCAGCCATTGAACTGATCCTCCCTCTCCCCCCTAGGCGTAGCTGTCTGTCGTGCTCGCCTCGTTGTCTATGGCTAATTTCTTCCTTTCTTCCTTCCAATAGTAATAATAATAAGGCCCGTTTAGATCCAATTTTTTTTTGGATTTTAGCTAGTGTAGTATTTTCGTTTGTATTTGGTAATTAGTGTCTAATTATGGACTAATTAGGTTTAAAAGTTTTGTCTCGCAATTTCTCATCCAAGTGTGCAATTAGTTTTTTTTTCATCTACATTTAGTACTCAATGCATGTGTCGCAAGATTCGATATGACGGTTACTGCGTAAAATTTTTTGAAATCTAAACGGCCCTGATCCATTTTGAGTCCTGACCTGGCTCCTGCACCGTACTACCTCTCTGTGCTATGCAGTCTAGACCTTTTTTAGTTTTAAAAACTTTTCTAAAAAATGCTATAGTATCTATCACATTAAATCTTGCGATACGTGTATAGAGCATTAAATGTAGACGAAAAAAATTAATTGCATAGTTTGGTTGAAAATTACGATACGAACATTTTAAGCCTAATTAATCCATAATTGAACACTAATTATTAAATAAAAACGAAAATGCTAGCGTAGCCAAATTTCCAAATTTCAGCGAACTAAACTTGGGACCATACCGTACAGTACAGCCTTGAGAACTGTGCAGGACTGCTCACTGAAATTAATGGCAGCCATCAACCTCAACCCACATCATTTACCTTCACCCAAGAAAACATTTGTTTACATATACAGTGAGTAAAAAGGAAAAGCAAAAAGAAAAAGGAAAAGAAATTTCAACCAGTTCGCAGATCGTAGTACAATGATGGTGCAGCATGCGGTCAGCTTCTCTTTTCTTGTGGGGTAGGGTAGGGTAACGGTGGGGCGTGCAGGTGCAGGAATGAATGGATGAATCCATGCCTGCCCTGCCTCTGCTCCCTTTTGTGACGTGCTAATTTATTTATAAACAATGCCAGACTGGGATCTTCGTTTTTTACAAATTTGATTTACTCATTTTTACGAATTAATTACAATGGGTGTATCAGCACAGCACAGAAACATCGTCTGACTCACACTGTATGTGTCAAATCAAAAGGAGGGTTAGACAAAAATTAGCACCAAACTACATCCACACTAAACTCATTCAGAACACCACAAGTGTATCTGGGTCAAACTGATCAACACAAATGTAGTACTGTTGTGACAGGATGATGGCTGTCATCTGCTTCAGGTTAGCTGGCAGAGTAGTTCATGTTTTGGTCCAAGGCTTTTAGTTTTAGCGCCAATGTAATTCAGAAGTTGCTCTATATCCTGCCAGAAAAATACTACAAGGAACTGGAGAGCTCAACAAATGTTTCAAAAAAATGGTGTGGAAAACAAAAGGGATGGAATATGGAAGTACACTTGGACGACTTTCAGTAACCACATATTTTGAGGTGATTACAGTAACCAAATGGAATTGTGGTCTAGAAAAGGGACAACCCAGTTAATTACTTTCTTTTTCTGATTCCCTTCTTTGTTGACTTTTTTATTTGTTCCTCACCCGAAACATGACGGACCTGTTTGATATAGGGCGCAGGGGTGGCCGAGCCCGTCAGCCGGGCCCTAGCCAGCCACGGCCTAGTCCAGAGCACACACAAGGGTGTGTTTGATTTCCTACAGCTAGGGAGACGGACCCAGAAGAGGTTGTGATTGTTTTGTTCCAGCCAGCCTGGCCCAACACCAACTACCTCCAACTACCAGATGGAGACTTTTTTTGATTTCGGCCCGGCTAGCCATAGGCTAAATACCAGAACCAGCAGTGTATAGAGAAAACAACAACAAATTTAAGAATGCAAATGTGATCAGACAAGAGGATACAACAACAACAATATGATTTTGATCAGATTGACCTCAGGACTAATTATTGTTGTAACACATTAATTAATCATACCTGCCTCGAGATAATTAAAAACCAATGTGACAGAGAGATCAACAGCACAATTATGAGTTCAGTACATACAACAGTAGTCCAAAAGCATAACCAGCTAAGACATGGGTTCATGAGACACAGAACAAAAGCATGAAGGCAGGTAATGAAACTTAGGTTGTTGCCATCATTGGCCTACACATTACAATTACACGAGGGACACTTGTTTATCTTCATCCAAAGAGCAAACAACAGGACAGAAAGAGCCAATATAAGCACATTCTTCCAATGACCACTCTTACCCATAGTCAGAGGAATTTCATCACAAGATCATCCGGGAGCGACTAGGAGGGGAGTTCTTTGCTCCCAGAGATGCTTTGAAATCTCTAAGTGCCTCCTCATAATTTTTGTACTTCAAATACCTTTCATTCTTGAATCCAAGAACCATTCACTTTGCATTCATACCAGGTTCTATAGATTCCAGGTTGCTTCTCATGGAAAACCACATAGCAAGATGCCATTTTCTGTGAAATCAGAATTGTAATTAGCCTCAGTCCTTTGTGAATCATGAAACAAGGCATGAGTGCGACATTGAAGATCTAGGGATTGATAAAAGAAACAATCCATGATCCTAAATGCCACACCGATGGCTTGGTTCATCTTGTTGAAATGAAACAATTGACATCATAGGCTAAAAAGTGGCCTCAGCTCTAGAATTTGGTGCTGCAATTCATGTAATTACTCATCACAGGTGGCTGCACATGTAGCAAACTAAGTACAGAAAAGCAGCAACTTTGAGACTGCAAATAAGTAGGAACAGAACATCAAGGCTGCCATGGAACCCATCTGGCCATCCATTCTCTGCCGTCATCCAACTGGTGTTGCAAGAGAATGGATGGTTCATATGGATTAGATGACAGTCATGAAAACCAGTAAGAACAAGCCATGAAAAAACAATAACAACATGAAACAGTTGTGCAGCCATCTCATTGTTTTTTCCACATTGTGCATCATAGGCCAGATCAGAAACCCACTTTAGGCACCAACTCATGGAAAAACAGGTATCAAATCCAAGAAATAACAGAAATATATGAAAGCGTGAAGTGAAGATTCAAACAAGGCCATCCCCAAAATCATGAAAGCCATGAAATCCATGGGCACGTCCATTCACTGCTATCAGCATGGTATGAGCATGCTGTTGCTAGGGAATGGATGTGTCCCATGGGTTCAATGACACCCATGAAAAGCACAATGTAATACAGTCCTCCCAATGCAACAGGAACATAGAGTGACAAATATAGTAGCAGTAGCAGTAACCAACAGAGGTTAATAATTAATACATCAAGTTTGTCTCCAAATAAAGGTTTAGCCCACAACAAGTAGGCACTTAAGTGAACTACCTAGTTACACTTGCTCAGATATAGTTAGTCACCCTCCAACTATGCAAACCCAAAAGGACAGGTGCTGGTTAGCCGTCTACCATGCACAGGAGCTACACCAAAATGGAACCTAAAGGAGAAGAGAGTGGTTGAGGGAGGTGGAAGAACTATACATCTCAACAGTCAACCCCCTCCTTGCCTTGTTGTCCTAGATGGACAGAACTACATATAGTAGTTCTTGGCAAGGTAGTTCCTTAGCCAAATATCCCTATGGATGATTGCCATGTTCACAAAGCCCCTGTCAAGGGCCTTTGAAAGGATCAAGATGCCCAAGTGGGGGAGGGTGAATTGGGCTAATTCTAAATTTCTTTGCAATAATCAAGTCCTATACTTAGCCCACTTCACCCATTATGCCTAGAATATAATTCTCTTGTTCTACCGCATAAAAGTTTTACACTCTAAGTTCCAATCCTACTCTAATATGGCAATTCTAGGAATGTAAAGACAAGAAATGAATTGCTCAAATGTAAATGCTTAAAGTAAAGAGAGAGAAAGGAACGCGGCGATGTTTTGCCGAGGTATCGGAGAGTTGCCACTCCCCACTAGTCCTCGTTGGAGCACCCGC